GATGATGCTGACAAACTATTCCATGCATTTGTTACTTCAAGGCTGGACTATTGTAATTCTTTACTGTCAGGAAGTCCACAAAATGTAGCTAAAAGCCTTTAGCTGCAGCCAGAGTTGTGATGAAAATTAAAAAGAGAGATCATATCTCTCCTATCCTAGCTTTTCTTCATTGGTTCAAAATCTTTTGACATGTCTCATGATTATTTAATAGATATACATTATGAAGTGTTTACACCAGGGGTCTTCAACGTTTTCCAGGCCAAGGACCCCCGAACTGATGGCGAGATGGAACGGGGGACCCCTAATTATATATTTAAATCTGAAAAACTCACACAAAGAGAAAAGATAATTAGAAGAATTTATTGATAAGAAAGTATAGTCTTTGGCGCTCAGACCTCGGCAGGAACATTCATGCTGATTTATGCTTTAACATGCATGAGTAGATGAATGTGAATAGGGATGTTCCCCCCGGCCAAACTGGTGGTGGTTTGATCCGAGCTGGTTGACAAGGTGATCTGCTGGGCAGAATTGTGGGACTAGAAGACTATGGGAGCTGACGCGGGGGCTTCACTCAGACTCGGGATATAGAGGTCCTGCTCGGTGATGCAGGTACCGTGAACTGTCCATGATGAGCAAGCATAAAGCGACAGTGGAGAGGAAAAACTCCCCTTTGGGAAGAAACCTCTGGCAGAACCGGGCTCAACATGGTGGTCTTCTGCCGGACAAATGCGATGAGACGAGGGATGGTGACAACTGGGATTAATACTCTCTGATGAGGTTGAGGTGAAGTCGTGTCATGAAGGACGATTCAGCTGCGATGGCGGAGAAGGGGATGGAGGTGGGTGAATTGTCGTCTGAATCGAAATCCGACATTGCGATTGCAGGATAGCGGCTGGGGTGAGATTTGAAAGGAGTTTATAAAGTGGAAGCAGGACGCTGATTGGGCTTCGTGGTGAAGGAGTTCGAAGCTGATTGGCTCGCTTCGGAGACGGATCAGCTTCTGATTGATGGAGGTAAGTCAGAGTTTCTTCAATTGAACTTCCGCTAGAGCTTCATATTGTATTAAATTATGTCATATCAAACTGGCCCTATAGTCACTCTATTACAGATTGAGTAATGTAATGAAAGTAATTTCGGCATGGGATTATTAAAGTATTTCTGATTCTGATTCCTCGTGGATGGGACAGGTGTTATGAATAAAATGGTACCCAGATTGAAAGAGCTCCTGGGTGTCGCTGAATGTGTGCATTGATGACTGAATGACATATTCTGCTTCCATTTATTTGTTTACTACAGTGTGTTGAATTCATGTTAATGTTGATTTAAAGAAATTTCAATTAGTGGCAAAATATTGCAGGGGGGAATATGAAAAAAAAGTCTAATCAAACAAAACTTTTGCGACCGCCATGCGGTACCTCCATGGACCCCCTAGGGGTCACGGACCCCCTGTTGAAGACCTCGGGTTTACACCTTGAAGCTTTTTCTCTCCGGCTCTTTACCAGAAAAGAATTCAGTCAGTACAAACTCTTTAAATAACATTTCATAATGTATATGTACGTATTAAATAGCCATGAGACATGACAACAGATTTTGATAGAAATTTACTCTTAATCAGATTGGAGAAGTTACTTAGGGTTACATAAGGCAGCTGCTTACAAACCTGGCTTCTTGGGAAGTGGCCATGATTAACAGTTAAAGAAGCATTTTATACATCTCAAGCATGTCAAATCATCACATCATTACATCATATACTTACATCATACAGATGAGGAGACATCCATGGTTCCAACCTTATCAAAAAATTACACGTTGTTCTTAGCTGAAGGACACCATTCTCTTTCCATTCCCAATTCTTTGCCATGTACAGAATGAAGATTTTAACTGAATATAGCCGGACCGTGGACCTGGCCTAATTAGATAAATTACTGGGGAAACATTGGTTCTGACACGCAACAGGCAGGTAATAAACAAGTAAGTCGGACTTGTTTCCGGTGAGGTTTGGACACCCTTCCAAGGGTGCCCTTTGTCATCAATTCTGCTCACAACTTTTATGGACAGAATTTCTAGTCGCAGCCAAGGTGTTGAGGGGATCTGTTTTGGTAGCCATAGGATTGCATCTCTGTCATTCGCAGATGATGTGGTTCTATTGGCTTTGTCAGGGCGTGATCTACAGCTCTCACTGGAGCAGTTCGCAGCCGATTGTGAAGCGGCCAGGATGAGGATCAGTGCCTCCAAATCCGAGTCTATTGTCTTGAGCCGGAAATAGGGTAGAGTGCCTTCTCCGGGTTGAGGAGGATGTACTGCCCCTAGTGGAGGAATTTAAGTATCTTGGGGTCTTGTTCACGAATGAGAGGAAGATAGATCAGGAGATTGATAGGCAGATTGGTGCACAGCGTCTGCTGTGAACGAGGGTGCTGTAAAGATCTGTTGCGTTGAAGAGAGAGCTGAGCCAAAAAGTAAAAGCTCTCGATTTACCAGTCGATCTACGTTCCTACCCTCATCTATGGTCATGAGTTTTGGGTAATGACCGAAAGAACGAGATCCTGGATAAAAGCGGCTGAAATGAGATATCTCTGTAGTGTGTCTGGGCTCTCCCCTAGAGATGGGGTGAAGAGCTCAGTCTTCCGGGGAGGACTCAGAGTAGAGCTGCTACTCCTCCACATCGAGAGGAGCCAGTTGAGGTGGCTCTGGCATCTGATTAGGATGCCTCCTGGACGTCTCCCTGGTGAGGTGTTCCAGGCACGTACCACCGGGAAGAGGCCCAGGACACACTGGAGGGACTATGTTTCTCGGCTGGCCTGGGAGCGCCTTGGGATTCCCCCGGAGGAGCTGGCCCATGTGGCTGGGGGGAGGGACATCTGGGACTTCCTACTGAAGCTGCTACCCCACGACCCGACCCTGGATAAGTGGAAGAAGATGGATGGATGGATGGATGGAT